TCCCAAGGATCCCACCAGTAGACCCCTATCAACCAATCTTTCAACCAAACAGTTTTAAGATTGGACTTCTCAAAGAAGACTCCTCAGATCTATTGCTTGAGATCAACAGAAGACTTTCTTCTTTGTTTATCGATAAAGGAGACTCTTCCCAAAAGAATGATGTGGTTAAGAGTATAAACGTAGTTGTTGCCTTACCAACTACAACTCAAGCCTCATCTTCAACAATCCTTCCGGTCACCATGCACACGGAAATGAAGAGCCATTATCCTCAACCATCTCCTCCTGACCTAGGATGGGACGATCTCCGCCATGATCAACGAGCTTATGACGGATCGTCTATAGTTACTTGGAATATCGACGGATATTCTGAAGCTCAAATGATGAATGCTTTTCAAGAAATGATGATGGCAGCTACAGCATTCAGCACCAAAAAGTCGGTTTTACAGACCGCTCATATCCTAATCTCAGGTCTCTCTGGAAACCTAAGGAGCTGGTGGCATAACCAGCTGACAGAAGAGGATAGAACAAGAATCCTGACGGCGACTAAAACAGTTGTCAAACAGGAAGGATCAAATGCAATGCAGATTGATGAGCCAGACATGGTAAATCAATTAGTTTATGCAATGACAAAAAATTTCATTGGTAGTACTAAAGTCTACTCAGACCTCAATATCGAAGCTCTTTTAGGCCTTCGATGTCGAAAGATGAGCAACTACAAATGGTATAAAGACACCTTCCTAACACGTCTTTATACTATTACAACATGCGGAGCAGATATCTGGAAACAAAAGTTTGTTGAAGGTCTTCCGCATTATATTGCTCAAAAATTCTACCAAACGGCAGTAACAAACTCTACAACCAATCAAATCAATTGGTCAGAGTTAACCATTGGAGATATTACTGCCACAATTCAAGGAATATGCGTCAATCTCTGCCTAGAGAATAAGCATACAGCCAAAGTTATCAAAGATCCCGACTACCGAAAGGAATTGAGGACTTTCTGCAAACAATACGGTCTTGACTATGGACCCAAAGATGAAAGGAAGAAGAAAAAGAAATCTTCCAACAAGCGACTCTTCAGCAAGAGTAAATCTAAAGATTTCGAATTACCACGGCGTAAAAGGAAGTATTACAACAGGTACAAAGGAAAGAAGAATTATTCAAAGAATCATTCTCATAAATCCTCTGTTACTTGTTACAAGTGCAACCGCAAAGGACATTACTCCAGCAAATGCCCTTTGAAGGACAAAATCAATTCTCTGACCATAGATAAAGAAACGCGGCAATCTCTTCTCTATGCCATCAGAAGCGAAGAAGAATACTCTTCATGTTCCGAGTATTCAACTGATAATGATGAGATCAATCTCATAAATGAAGAAGATTCAGATGAAGAAACCTTTTTCTCTCAAAGTGATTCCTCTGAGGAAGATGGAATTATTCTCTGCACTGGCCACTGCACTGGAAAATGCCACGGCCATATCAATGTCATCAGTAAGGATCAAGAGGCTCTCTTTGATCTAATTGAGCAATTACCCGATGAAGACTCTAAACGAATGTGTCTCATCAAACTTCGGGAAAGCCTTGAAGCTGAAGCTCTTCAAAGGAAGCCAGAATTGAACCTAATAGAATACTCTTTTCAAGATATTCTAAAAAGGGTCAAAGGAGAAGCTAAAAAGCCTATCCAAATTGAAGATCTCCACAATGAAGTGAAGACTCTCAAAAGGGAAGTTGCTGAAAATAAGCAACGTCTTTCTACTCTTGAATACGCCTTCAAAAAATTTCAGGAGTCAGAAACCACGGAAGGAGAAACTTCCTCAAAATCTGAACAAACTTTACAGACTGATTCACCAAGCGGAATCAATTACATTAGTAAAGTTCAAAACCAGAAGTGGATGTCCAAGATTATTTTAAAAATCAGAGACTTCCAGCTGGAAACATTCGCTCTTATCGACTCTGGAGCCGATCAGAACGTCATCCAAGAAGGTTTAGTTCCTTCTAAATACTTCGAAAAAACAAAAGAAGTTCTTAGAGAGGGGAGACGAGTAGATACTTTGTTGGAAGATAGGCTCTGATACCACTGAGGGTCGAGGGCAAGTGCTCTTTATAGAAGAGAACCAATAATTGCAACTGGCTGCAATTATTGATTTCTTACTATTGTCTTGACACTACCTGTCTGTACATGTCTTGACTAGATCTGTTATCTTGTCATTGGTTATCTTCGAAGTTCCAGATAGTGTTTCTAAAAATCTCGTCCCAACGAAGCGTATTTGGAATGGTCATCGAAGATTTTTCGATATTGACTTCCATCAGCATGGAGTAACCTTTTGGAGAAACACCTAGAGCTTTTGGAGAAAGGTTGGTATGCATCAATTTGTAATAGATGCGATAAGAGACAGCAAACGGGAGAGATCCGTCCTTTAGTTCTAATCCTTCAGAGTGAACATCTAGGCATAGGACATCCATAATGTTTTTATCTTGAAGGGAGACGGTAAGACCGAGTTTGCAGTTGAAGTATACTGGGTCTTGTACCAGATTTGATTCAACGATCCCTAGCAAAGAGGGAGTAAAGTTGAGATGCCTCTTATCTCGTAGGGCGAGATAAACTGAGACATCTAAGCCTTCTCTGAAGAGAGGTTTCAAAGCAACTTGGAAACATCCAATATGGAGATACTTGAATTTGTTCCTGACTTTGAAGAGGGTTTCTTCAGGGAGAAGGGTGATTTCTGTGAATTCATCCTTCATATCAACGTTTTCTTCAGTGATGATGATAACATCTTGCTGGGAGAAATTGAAGGTATTTATCTTATATACCTGATTTGGATCTATCTTGGGGATAGACCAATTTTTGAGACGGTCTTCAACCTTTGCCAGATGGGTTTCGGCTGAATTATGCTCGGCTAAGATTTTTGAAAAATCATTTTCTGATTTTCGTTTGCTAGAGGAAGAGGAAGAAGAGGAAGCTGTGTCAACGATCGGTTGTGAGTGGGGGGAGATTTTCGAGAGAAGTTTGGAAAGCACAAGAGAGGGAGAGGGAGAATCTGGAGATATCTAAGAGATGGAAATAAAATCTTAATAAGTTTACATTCTTTAATTTTGATAATAATCTATCTCTTAATTAAATCAAATTCTTCGATCAATCGATCTATATCCAACCATCTTCATATCTTTTAACTAAAGATTCTCAATCATGAAGGTTAACCACGCCTTTATCATGATTTCTGAGAATAGGTAGCTAGAAAATATCAAGAGATCGAACAAGAGAGATACCCGAATCTAATTTCATTAATAGATAGGTTAAGAATCAAAAGAAAATGATGTAACCTTAGAGCGATATTAGATTCATCTTCCCTTTCACCCCAGATTCAGAGAGGAGTTTACTCCATGAAAGAGAAAGAGATAAGAAAAGAAGAGTCGGGCAGAAGAGAACTAATCAATTAAGAATTTCAACCACCGTCAGTGCAATTTTTTTTTAATGAGAACATTATATCACATCCCTATGAAGTCGAGAATCAAATCTTCCCTAATCAAATAAACTATAAAGTTCACGATTTTTATAATATTTTAATTTATTTCGTATACTTTTTTTAAAAAATTAACATAAACAATTCAAGCACGTCTTTTTATAAAATAATTAATGATTTAATGATTCATATCATATTCAAATCATTCAATCATTTTCCACTAAAAAATGCTCAACCAGTTAATTGATCATTGATATAATACTGTATAATTAAGGATTTGTCATATGAGTAATTGATTAACCCATAATTCAGACCATTTGATAATTATATTATTTTTTATTTCTTGTTTCTTAATTGAAATAAAAAAATTAAAGCATGTCTTTTAATTTTTCTAATGACGGTGATAGGTTAGTACAATTCTCCTGCAGCTGATTTGGTCAATAGCTCCTCTCAGGACCCACAATCATCGAGATTTGAAAAAGATTTGAAATCGAAACCCCGTCTTATAACAATAATGAAAGAAAAAAAAGGTATGAAGTTGAAATCTCCACATCTCATTCTTGACCAACCCAAAAAGGAAAAAATTATAGTATAAAGTATAATTTGAAAAAGATTATATAAATTTAAAAAACTAATTAAAAATCAAATTATTATTAGGTACTAAATATCGATCGACATGTCGACACTTTTATTTACATTTACATGTGTTAATAAGTTCGACATTAAATTGACATTTTCATAGTAATAAAATATGAAAAGTATCAATAAAATATCACTCCCATACACATAATATTGTATTAAAAAATTATATACATAATATTAATATTAATAATTTTTAACTCATTTAAGCATATTAAAATGTATATTTGTTAATTAAAATATTTTTTTACAAATTTTTTATTTTTATATTTTTTCAGACATATCCTCCACCAACGTGAGATAGAGAGCTCCACATTAAGTGAAAAGTGGTGGGCCGAGCCCACTAGGCCACGTCCCAATCATGACGCTCATCAGTCAAAATTCAACTGCAAATATTCTCTCTCTCACCGATTTTCTCTCTCTACTCCCAACTAACCTTCAGCCGGCGGCAATCCTCGGCTCCGGCGAGCCAATCAGTGCCCTCGGATAGACTTGCCCTATCGGACAGCTGTGCTGCAGCCACAAGGACGATATCGTTCCACATCCACTCTCTTTGTAATTATCTAATTGAATGGAAGTTCTACAGTGCATTCAAATGAATGCGTATTTAGATCGACTGTGTTCGAATGTGTGTGAATTTTGTTTAATTTTTTCTGTTCTTCATGTTTTTCGATCAATCTTCTACTTCAATTTTCTGATTCCAGGAGAAGCTAAATCATCTCTAATTATTGCCTAATTTCTCTAGATCTAACGCAGTACCACACACAATCCAGTCTAATACAGAACAAGCATTCCAATTCGCACATTTTCATTCAAGAAAACAGAGCAATTAAACACGATTTGCGGGGATCGAAGCAGGAAATTAGAACACAGCAAAAGCTAATAGAAGAATTAACTTACAGAGGAAGAAGAAATCGAGGTCAGAGACTCACGAACCACTCTCCAGCTTCAATCAGAATCTCGGAGGCTTGGGGAGAGAGAGAGAGAGATCTGAATTTCTCAACAATTTACAGTCTCAACTCTGCAGTATGCGCAGTACTTGTACAAGATACTCACTCTTGTTTAATTGGTGACTTGAAAATATAAATCTGAAATTAACGAATTCAAATTTATTTTTGGTAGTAAATTTAAAAATTCAATCTTAATTTAAAATATTGTTCAACGTGTTAATATATTTGTAAACTGTAATTACTGACAATCTATAATATTAATTTATTTGTTTACATCTTTTATATATAAATATTGTATAATTTATATTATATTATATTTTACTTATTTTAATTTTAAAAAAAATAATAAATTTATAATATAAAATAGTATATTTATCAAAAATTTTATTTTTTTAATATAACTTTACATCTAAAAGTACGATTTAAATCGCAAGGCCGGAAAATAATTTTTAGAAATAAATCTGTTAAATACAAATTAAATCTAAAACAAGAAACATAGACAACTAAACATACCTAATTTTCTTTTCCAATTTATTGCTATTTTGATTATTAAATTATGGGAACTGCATTTTTCATTTATTAACATTTTCGTACTTTTCCAATTTAAACTTCCACGTCACCAAACAATTTCCTTTTATACTTCCGAAGCTTATCCCAATATATTTGATGATGCTGACTGTCTTCACCCCCGACGAAATAATAATTTATAATTATTGTTTTCTAAAATCCTTTTTAGAAAAAGATTAAAATCTTTTTTAGAAAAAAAATTAAAATCTTATTTTGATAAGTTTCTTTTTTCGTAGTACTGATATTCTGTATTTAAAATTAAAAAATTGTAGGCTATGTTATTGTTTATTGTCTATAGAAGACAAAATGTTGACTTTTCAAAGCCAGCTTGCCTGTGGCTCAAAAAAAAAAAGTGTTTGGACATAGAAACGTTAGAAAAATAGTACTCCTTTGAAATGTCTTGTTTTAATAAGAGGAAAAGGAAAGTGAACGCAACTTTAAAAAGATGAGCAAGAATGTCTTTAGTATAATTTAATAAAGATTTATTATAAATTTGATGAATGTATTTTCAAAAGCCTAATAGACAGTTGCAGATCAAGAAATTTTGTTCGGAGTGCTTTATACTAATTTAACAAGTAATTTTTTTAAAGTAAAAAGTAAGTAATTCTAAAAAATTATAAATGAAATGACCACAATTCTTCTCTACCAGTTTTCATATGATGAAATCGCTGCATAATAATTTCATTCTCTATTTTATCAATTAATTCTTTCCCAATGTATGTGATAAGACTATGATTCATCTACTAGTCTCTCATCTGATTACGCAACTGAGTCTTTACAATACACATAGTAGAAAATTTTCTCTCCATGGCAGTTGTTGAAACTGGCAACCGATAAACTAATGGATAGGCTTTATCTTTAGCTATCATCACCATGTTTAGTGCAAGATCATTACCATAGACATGATAAGAAAATGTGTCTTAGACAATTAATCTCCAAATAGTCGGCTTCCTTTAATTTTGCAGACTACAAAATGAAAATTAAAAAATAATATTGTTGACTGCGAATTCTGGTCGTAAGCCACGTGTCCCTCGGATGAGTAATCCGGCCGAAGAACAAGAGAACATGAAACAAAAAGAACTCGACGCTCATGCGGTGTCCCGCCTAAGACACTCCGACGATCAAGTTAATAATCAGAATAGAAATAGGAAAAATACACCAAATATGTGAGTGGTAGATTTTTCACCTCCTTGGGGAGGATGAGGGTCCTTCTTTTTATAGCCTCGGGCAATCGACCAGGAAGAACGACGGTTAGGGATGGCAGAGACGCGCCACGCTGTACGGGAAGCATCGAGGAGCATGCCTCTAATAGTTGCGGGCCGACACCTCGTCCTACTGCTCAGAGCCTGTTGCCTGCAGCTATGAGGTATGCATGTCGTATTGATGGTATCCGCCACCCACTACGATTACGTACAACGTCCAATTGTCCACATTCCCTTATCTCTTCGTGAGAGGACATGTGTCCTGTTCGGCAATGCTAGTTTGTGGGGGAGGGCAACCGTATGTGGTCTTGCGTTCCAGAAGCAGACACACATCCTACTCGATTTCTTTCCCCCAACAAATATAAATAAAAACAAAGGAATCTCGAAACTGATGATTCGAAGAGGAAAAAAGATAGATCGATACAATAATTAATAGAAAACATATTACCTATGTGTAACGACAAAGTATAAATTGAAAGAAAAAAAGGTTGACCTTGAAATTGCCAGCAACAATTAGATCAAAGAGACGACAATGATGTATTCTAGTAATATATATATATATATATATATATATATATATATATATATATATATATTTTAAATATTCCACTCATTTATAGATATTTTTTCATTTTTTTAAAAATTGTCGTATTTGTTTAGGAAATGATATGTTTCCAATTTCTTTTAGTTTTTCAAAAATTAACTTAATTATTTAATTTTCAAAAAATATTTTCCTTTTTTTAACCTCGGATAAATTTGGTAATAAATATATAATTGTTGCCAAAATCTGGTAACAAATAATTTAAAAAAAAAAAGAAAGAAAAGAAAGTGGATGAAGCTAGGGTCCCAAGGACGTCGGAGCCACCAGGGGGCTTGAGCACGCATGGACCACTGTGTGAATACATATTTTGTTGTTTAGAAATCAATCCGTATACATTAATTATATACTTTACGAAGTTTAATGGCCCTGGGTCCTTAATAAAACAGCCCCTGCTAGTAGGATCTTTAAACTTTTAATTTTATGTCTTATGTTCTTAAGTTTTAAAAAGAATTCAATAGGTCCTAAAAACTTTTAACATTATGTTTAATGGGTTTTAAATTTTAATAGGTATAAAAGAACAAGAGAATTTATTATTCAAGATCATTTTAAATATAAAATTGAAAGTTCAAATATCTATTAGACAATTTTTTAAAGTTATCTATCGAGTATTGTTTAGAAAAGTATTTTCCATCTACCGAGTATTGTTTAGAAAAGTATTTGCCAATCTCTAATATTTAACTTTAGTCTATTAGACACGACCTTAAAATTTTATGAATAATTTCACCCAAATACTCTTAAGGAAAAAAAAATCACCCAAATACTTTTTAGATTAGCTTTTTGTTTTTGTTTAATTACTTTCAACAGCCTTAAATTTTGAACATAGCAATCAATGATGACCAACATCCATGACTGAACGGTTAAGATATTTTGCTATTTCTTAGGGGTATCTATTAATAATGTATTGGACGAGTTGTTTTGAAAACTTATTTCCACATATCTCTAATGTTTACAAATTTTATAGTTTTAGATTTTTGGATTTATAAATTTTCACTATTGCCAAATTTGTCCGCATTTATATTTATTATAATTAGTTTTTTTATTTAAATGTAAAAGATTTAATGTTTCAAATTTGATTTTATAAACGTTAAATTATTGTGGGACCCAAATCAGTTATTCTTGTAATCTCCTAATTTACTCTTTAATATATTTTACTAAAGAAGGAAATTTATTACAAAATATTTTATGATTTCATTCCAATTTTTTTTTTCGCTCAATTTCAATATATTTCAAATGCAATATTTGGCTCAATCTCACTAAAATTTGTCGAAGAGCACTACATTTTAGGAGAGTAAACTTGCCGGCATGATGAGGTAAGACGACAATGGAGTAATGCGACTTCATCCTTTATTTATATATATATATATATATATCTTCTTTTTTGTTTATCGCCTAAATTTTCATTTATATGCAGTTATAAACTATATTCGACTATAAACTATAGCCATTATACCATAAACTTATATGAAGATATAAACTATACTTGGCTATAAACTATAACTTACTATAAAGTATATACGACTATATCCCTCTATAATTAACAAATAAAACAAATAGCCTACATAATCAAATACATACGACGTCATCATCGAATATTTTTTCAATACCCCAAAATCGAACACCCAAAATCCGAAATAAAAAACAAACCTAGAATATTTAACTTACATAATCAATTGCAAACGGGCTGCCGAAGACGGTAACGACAAAAAACTGAGAACACTAAGAAGACGAGGAGATGGCCTGCTGGAAACAATGGTGAAAGCAAGAGAAAAAGAAGATAATGAAGAAGAGGAAGAGATAAGTAAAAATTTGGGAAGTTTTTTTTTTAGGAAACTGAAAAGGTGCATAAATCTAAGAATTTAAAATGTAAACCCCAAATCAACAATTTTTCAATTTTGAATTTTCATATCTTAATAATAATTATATGTGTATAAAAATGGTATATTGGTAAAATGCAGATGAGTTTCATCTTAAGGGGTGTATTTTAAGGCAAAAGTATAAATTTTGTTGAATCCCTTTGTGTAATTATCATTTCCAAATGGTCTATCAACATACTAATCCCTAATAATAATTGTCAATTTTTAATGGCTCTATTCACTAGGGGTGAAAGAAATCGAACCGACCCGAAAAACCAAACCGAACCGAATTGGTTCGGGTCCGGTCGGTTTATATAAAATATGAACCGAAACCGAAGGAAAGGGAAGCTTATTCCACGCTTTATTGGGCCATTTGAAGTGTTGGAGCATATTGGCTTCGTACCTTATCGATTGGTTTTACCGCCTTCCCTTTCAGTAGTCCACAATGTCTATCATGTATCCTTGTTATGGAAGTACATGGCGGATCCATCTCATGTCATCGACTACAAGCCATTGTGTTTGAGTGAGAACTTGAGTTATGAAGAGAAGCCAAGACGAATTCTTGCTAGATAATTTAATACTCTTCGTAATAGAAATAGAGATAGTTCTAGTTAAAATTTTTTGGCAAAATCATAAGCTTGAAGAAGCAACATGGGAACAAGAAGATGAAATGAAGGCCAGATATCATGAACTTTTTCAAAATCAGAAACGTTCGAGGACGAAGTTTTTTTTAAGGTGGGGAGAATTTAACACCCCATACTTAGTAATTCAAATGGTATGATTAGATATTTATTTATTCATTTTTGAATTAAAAATATTGATTTGTTAAATAATTTTGGTTAAAATAGTGCATTAAATTAAAAAATGTGGTGTAGTCAGCGTTTCTTAACAAAAAAAAGAAAAAAACAAAAGGGAAAATTTTGTTTTTTTTTTTTAGAGAAAAACTAACAAAAACAACAAAACAGGGGAAATTAAAATCAACTCTCCTCAAAAGGTAAATGTGTGACATCTTCAGGCACAATTCGCTCCATTTTTGCCGGCGTTTTCTCTAACCAGACGCCATCGATGTTCTCCTCGACGGCAAGCTTCGCCGCTGCATGCGCCACCTGATTGCAACTGTGGCGACGATGGGTAAATTTCGTGTCCCTTAACAACCGCGAAAGAGTTTTGATTTCATCCACAATTAATCCTAACTGAGAACGATCTTCTTTATTTGAATGAATCATTGAGAAAACACTTAGAGAATCAGTTTCAATAATTAGCTGGGTGAATCCCATCTCAATCGCCGTCCACAAACTGTCTCTGATCGCCATTGCCTCAGCCTCTGCAACAGATAATATGTCTCGCCTACTCTGAAGAAAGGTAAGGTAAACTTCACCTTTTTTGTCTCTGATTACTGCTCCCATTCCAAAACGTTTCTCCTCCGCTCTAAATGACGCATCCACATTCAATTTTAGATTGGACTCGACTGGCCGGGGGTTCCATCGATTATTGCTGAAGCTCATAGTTCTATCAGGTGTGTACCTTTGCCTATTCTCTATAGTTTCTGTATTACAAACAACAAATTGCTTAATGTGTATCGCTGAACTCACTCCCATAGTTGCTCCCCTCCTGCTGGACGACTATATTGATGTTTGCAATCATCACTTCCTTATTTCGTTCCCGCCATACCGCCCACATCATAGTCATCAACCGATCAAAATCATCTCTTGCCTCATGTCTTTAAACCACCATAGAAAATCCGAAATATTGGCCACCTTTTTTGACCAATCAGTGTAGTAATAGGGGGCACTTAACCAAAAACTCTACTGTGTTTGCAGTTCCACAAAGCATGAAAAACATCTTATCTGCTTGCACCACATCTTCTACACCTGCTGTCAGTTTGTAATCCACGTTTACACAAATTTTCTCCAGTTGGGAGAAAATTCTTATACAACATCCACCCAAAAACTTTAATCTTGTTTGGGACCTTCGAATTCCACAACCACTTCCACCATTGCTACGTGTTTTTAGTCTCAGACTGCCCCGGCCTAGGCTTCCTAGAATTTGCAACATGATAACCACTCTTGACCGAGAAGACACAATCTTTAGAATGAATTCACATAATCTAATCCCGATAGCCATTTCGAGGGAGGGGGATCCTAAGGATTTTGTAAACTTCCTCTTCCTCAAAATTTTCACAAATCAGAGGCTCATTCCATTGTCCTCCAGGCTCGATTAGATTAGCCACAATCCTCGGCCTATTTTCCTATCTCCTAGGCTGATAACGTAAGCCCGAACTATTTGGAATCCACCGATCTCTAGCCACATTTATACTTTCACCATTTCCAACTCACCAACCCGTCCTTTGAACTAACAGCTCCTTCCCCCCACATCAGACTCCGCCATAAAAAAGATGCATTCATTTTAAATTCAGATTCAAAAAAAGAGGAATTCCGGAAGTACTTTCCTTTCAACACTTGAGAAACAAGAGAATTGGGCTTTGTAACAATCCTCCACCCTTGCTTTGCTAACAAGGATTAGTTAAAACTCTCCAGATCCCTAAAGCCTAGCCCCCCTTGATACTTTGGAATGCAAACGCTTTCCCACTTGGCCCAATGAATCTTTCGTCTCTCATCATCACCTCCCCACCAAAACCTAGCCATCAACCTGTTACACTCCACTATGACCCATTTCGAAATCCTAAAACAAAGCATCGAATACGATGGAATAGCTTGAATTACTGCTTTAAGGAGGACCTCCTTGCCTCCTACCGAAAAGAATTTCCCCTTCTAGTTCTGCAAATGCTTCAAGATTCTATCCTTTATATAATTGAACGAGGAAATCTTTTTGTGGGAGAGAGAAGAAGGAAGGCCTAGATACCTTTCTTGACATGAAACTTCTTTTATCTTCAAAACCCTTGTGATGTATCTTTTAATAGATCTTATGGTGTTAGAGCTAAAACAAGCTGCTTATTGCTGAATTAATCTCTTGACCAGAAAGCTTAGAATAAAGCCATAATGCCTTAGAAATAGCCTTCATCTCCTCTTTATTTGCCTTCATAAAAAGGAGGCTATCGTCAGCAAAAAACAGATGAGAGATGGAGGGGCTCGCCTGTACAATGTTAATTCCCATTATCATTTTCTTCTCATCTAAGCCTGACAGGATCATAGAAAGACCTTCTGCACAAAGAAGTAAAAGATAAGGGGAGATAGGGTCTCCTTGTCTTAGCCAATTTTAGGGAGCAAGAACCCTTTACACTCTCCATTAATAACAAAAGAGTAAGAAAGAGATGAGATACATTTCATAACAAGGTTAATGAAAGATAGATCAAAACCCAGAGCTTGCATAAATCTCTAAATAAAGCTCCATGCCACGTGGTCATAGGCTTTACTCATGTCTAGCTTTAGAGCCATCCATCATGTTTTCTCCGTTTGTCTTGCTTTCAGGCTATGCACGCACTCAAACCCCAAAATAACATTATCAGTGATACTCCGACCTAGAACAAATGCACTATGATATGGTGAAATAATATCAATTTCAGACGGTTCGCTATCGTTTTGGATATGATCTTGTAGATGACGATGCATAGACTAATAGGACGATACTCAGCAACCTCTTTAGGACCCTTCTTCTTTAGGATTAGGACAATCCCAGTGTGATTCAGCCTTCCCACCTCACTCCATTGTTTAGAATATTCAAACAAACCTTTGTGACCTCATTTTTCACAATCTCCCAATATTTTTGAAAGAAAATGGCTGGTAAACCATCTACTCTTGGCGCTTTAGTTGGGTTCATCTGATTTAGAGCTTGAAAAAGCTCTTCCTCAGAGAAAGGAGTGCTAAGCTTCTGATTCATTTTAGCAGTTACTCGGGCTTTGATATTGCAGAAGAAAGCTTTTGTGTCCTCATTCTCATTCTGCCCATTAGAAGAAAACAGGTTTTGGAAATAATCCTGGATTACTTGTGCAATATCCTCATCCTAATCTCTTCAAACTCCATTTTTATCGAACAAGCCCTCTATGCTATTTTTCTTCCTCCGTTGAGTGGCTTTCCGATGAAACCAAGCTGTATTTTTGTCCCCCCATTTCATCCAGTCAACCCTTGCTCTTTGTTTCCAGTAAATTTCTTCTTCAATCATAACCTTTTCCAGCTTTATACTTGCTGCAACAATACCTTTATTAGTGTCAATTGCCCTTTGATACTCAGTTTTGGCTCTACGGATTTTCTCTTCATAATTGCCTTTTTTCGCCCGGCCCCAATTTTCCATTCTCTTCAAGCAATTAACAACACAATGTTGAAAATCTTCCAGCAAGTTCTCCCTTGTGTTCATATTCGGTCTCCACCCCTCTTTAACAATATCAGCAAACTCATCATATTGAAGCCACACTTCAAATTTAAACCTTCTTTCCCTCTGCCTCCTCCTGAGACTTCCATTCTTTCTAACATTAATCTTAAGAGGACTATGGTATGAGGTAGTAAAGTCTAGATGCTTGACACTGGATAGGGGGAAGAGGTTGTAGAAATCTGGGGTGCAAACACTCCTATCCAGCCGCTCTTTGACAACATTCATCTCCTCTCTTTTATTGATCCAAGTGTAAGGTTTCTCCATATAACCCATATCAAAGCAGATTTCACTCATTCAAAACCTCTTGAAAATTGTGTAACAATTTGTTTGGCTTTTAAAGGCCTCCCAACTTCTTCGTATTATACAAAATCTCATTAAAATCCCCACAAACCAACCAATGAAGTCTGGCCCTATCATTCAATCTCTTACTAACTCCCACGTATTCTTCCGTCTTGTCGAATCTGGTTCCCCATAAAGACTGGATAATCTCTACTGGATCCTATCCTCCTTTACCAGAGCATCAATATGAAAGGAATTATATGACAGAATGGAAAGATCTATCCCTTCCTTCCATAAGAGGCACAAACCTCCACTTTTTCCCTGAGCACTAACAGCGAAACCATTTTCAAAACCAATACTCAATTGCCGCTCTCTACACTTAAAATCTGATAGTTTAGTTTCCATAAGAAAAAATCACCTGAGGCTTAATGTCTTGCACTAGGTCGTGCAAGGCTTGGAATACTCGTGGGTTGCCCAGCTACGAACATTCCAACTTAAGATTTTCATAATGCTCGACACCCCTGAGAGTCAGAAGTCGCCGTTGAAAATTCATCATTTGTCGTTTCCAAAGATAGCCTAAGCTTCTTCTTCAGATCATCGTCATCCTCCTCTCCCGAAGGACTAAGTAGTTCAAAACTGTGCTTACCTAGTTTTAGTCTATCCACAGTGTCAGAATAAAATTCTGTTATTTGTTCTTTCCTTTTCCAGTATTTTTTCTATGTGAGATCCCCTACTTTCTCTTTCTGGTTAGGTTGTCGATTCTCATTAATTAGTTGCTTATCTTTTCCTTCCCCACTTGGATTGCTAACACATTCCGTATTCTCCACCATAAATGTGCACTCCATATCAATCTGCTCCCCCTTATTACCCCCACTCCCTTGATTTCCTCCTTCCATATATGTGCTGATTGAATTCAATTGTGGGATCTACCAAATTCGTCCCACTTTCCTTCTCCGGAACGGTTTTTTGTCCGTTCACTGTAACGGCCGTTTGGCCGGGAATTGGTTCTCCTCCGATTTCGTTGAGGGCCTACTTGTCGAATGTGTCGTCGTCTGCATCATCAAATTTTCTGTAATTTGGATACTTTCTTCCTAATCCAGAAGGATGAAGTCCTCCCATGCCTCTCCGATTCCAATCACCCCTCTCTCGTTCCTCATTTAAATCATACTCATTTTTCCCGGCCCGTTCTCGGTGTTGTCCTCCTCCTACCCGAAGCCAAGGGCCATAAGAAAGAAATTATTCATCCTCCACACACTGTCTTCACATTCTTTCTTACTATGCCCTATTTTGCCACAACAGTAGTAAAAATCTGGTAGTCTTTCATATTGTATTGGTATCCATATATGATAAACCTTCCATCAATCTTAGCCCTCACTCTGCGACGTTAAGGGACTGTTATATCAATCTTGATTCGAACTCTAGCAAATTTTCCCCAATATTCACCGCTAGCATTTTGGTCAACTTCAACTACTTCCCCAACTCTCTTCCCTATCTCCGCTATAAATTGTTTATTCATATATATCAGCGGCAGGTTGCACAAATGGACCCAAAAGGTGACATACTTGAAATTCAAATCTTTTGGTTGACACACTCTATTAGGACACTCTAACAGTAGGATGGTCTTATTAAAGAACCATGGACCACTATTCAGAATTCTCTTCTTCTCCACCATACTCCTAAATTGAATCATAATGAGATTTTATCCAATACAGTCAATCATCGTACTCTTATGAACTTTCCAGATATTCTTCATCCCCGATCGGAACACTTCAATGTTCACCATATTCTTACTGAGGCAAAGCTTTCCAACTACACATAAAGCTTATATGTCTTTAGCTTTTTCATCCTTAACATGGCTGAAGTCGGCGACTTCATCCTCTACCGAAGTCAATTTCATGTTTTCCCATTGCAAAGTTCTCTTCCATTCTGCTTACTTACACAAATCTAATACCTTGAAAAGATACAAGATGCAACAACAGCTTGCACCATGGCAAGAAGATCACCTCTCAGGAACTTGCACGACGACAAGCAGGCTACTCTCAGAAAACGAGAGAAAAATTCCTCAACGTTCTTTTCTTTTCACGTAAAAGATCTTCCGTCGCACACCACGAGAAAAGTTTGTTTTAAATTCAAATTCAGTGCACACCAGCTCTGTTTTAAGGAAAAAAAAATATCGTTTTGAATGGAAATCAAATCAAAGTGGATTTCAATTTTCAACCTCATTCAACCCTCAGACTTTTCCCTTTTCCATGTCTGCTGCTGAATCGTTTCAATAAATAAAAAAAATGGAGAAATTTTATTTCCCTCCTCTTCTCTGGCTATCTCTTTTGCTCGACAACCAACATATTTTAGTATTTTCTTTCTCCCCTACCACTATCAATTAAATTGATCCTCTTTTAGTAAGCCACAACAAGGTTTCTGGTTTGATATTCTCCTTAATTATTGGTCCTCCCTCAGTTAAGGTTCAAGATTTAGAAAATTTATTTGTTTTGTTTTGGAAATTGTTTTAGGTTGAACTTGGGTAGATTGAGCCAAATAATTAATTTTGGTTTGCCATTAAGGTAAGTGACTATATTTTTAGAATGCCTTAGGGCTAGGTTAGAAAATTTTATTTGATGGTTTGAATAGCCATATGATGGATGCTATTTGGGAATGAAATGTTATGTGAAATTGTTGTGCTGCATTACAAAATGTTTAATTATGGTACCTCATGCATGATGATGAACGTGTAAATGTTATTTTTCTTTTCATGTGAAACACCCTTTTGTATTTTTTTAAAATATATGTGCAGAGACTAAGACGGAAATTGAGGACATAGATGTGAGACTTGACTCTACTGACCAAGTGCCAACTACCAACTCATCTGTATACCATAGTCAAGTTGGTATTGTGTATGCATGGATGGGTTAATTGTTCATATTGACCAAAAAATGAAAAGGAAAAGGGAAATGATATTGACGGATAAAGATTTAGGTCTCACATAGTAATTTATGTGTGTATATACATGTCTAACCCCTTACCTGGTTTACTTACTAAGTGTTTTTAATACTCACTCATTTTTGGATTTTTTTTAAATAATTATTTTTTAAAAACAAATGACAAATCTAAGGTAGGTTTCAAACTAATTTAATTACAAAATTAGGGTAGATAAATCGCAGGATAGGCTGCGATTTGCCCAAAATCGCAGGCGATGGCTGCGATTTATGTCGAAATCGCGGTAATTGACCGCGATTTCACTAAAGTCGCAGCCATCGCCTGCGACTTCTGCCTAACGTGGCGCAAATGGAGCCACGTCTTTGCTGACGGACCATTTATTTTTTTAATTATTTTTTTATTTTGAATTTGGAAGTCGCGACTTCCCTTTGTTTTTTTTGGTTAAATTTGGGAGGGGCAGCTCTTCTCCACTTCCTCTTTTATTTTTTTATTTTTTATTTTTTATTTTTATTTTATCTTTTGAATTTAAAAATTATAGTCCTGCAACTTCCCACCAATATCCCTTTGTTTTTCTTAATTTTATTTTAAAAGACCATAATTTAAGAAAAATACTATCATCTTAATTATCTTAATTTTCTCCATATTTGGAAAGTAGTTCTTAATTACCTACCACATGATGTAATATTCCTATAATGTAATAATTTAAAACAAAATAATTGTAAAACAAACAAAACCCTAATTATACATATCCCAAATTTTGGTTTTTGTTTTAAAGCCATGTATTTCGCGATGCAAATGACAAAACATGGGAGTTTCATGTAATTTATACCTTTACTTTTATGGTTTTATTAATTTAATAATTTTTTATCGATTTAGTTTATATTAAATTTAAATGTTATTTTATAGAACATACGAAGATGAAATACAAGAAGCTAAATGACATTTTAATCATCGAATTGGTTTTAATATAAGTTTAAACTTTTAAACTTTAAATGACATTTTAATCAAATTTAAAAATAAAAAAATAAAAAATAAAAAATTTAATCACATCTTAATTAAATTTCGCAATATTAATAAAATAACAATATATAAATAAAATAAAACAAAAAATAAATAAAAATGTGGAA